GAACAGAGTGTTTGACTGTGTTAATGAGTGAATCACTGAATAATTTATTCAACCGCTTCGTTCAAAAAGCCGATTCATTCAATAAGTAAACACTGTCCATTGCTCAGAGACGCAAAACAGTGCTGTGTGATCTTTGTTTGGAATTATTTTCGTTGGCAAAATTGAGCAAAAACAAGCAATATTATGTCTAAAATGTAAGTCACTTATTGCTTTACTGAACTTGCATAAAATGATTATTAAATTAGTTGTCATGCTGATATCTGCAGAAAAACGGTGCTCTTTGTGTGATATAGATTAACTTAACTATATTAAATTATATAAATATAAATAGCATTCAGAAGCATTTTTGCTCTCTACAATTTAGAATGCCTGGAATTTTGAGTTTTAATAGACTAATAAATCAACGTGCGTGCACTCTGTGTGATTTGGTGATATAGCCTACTTGATAATGTCAGATCGCACATCATTACAACAACACTTACCATATTATCGCAGACGATGCTAATTCATTCTTTGCCACTAGATGCCGCTTTTGGAGCGGTTTCCCCGGTAACGCTGTACACAAAGCAGCACTGCGCTCACAAATGCTGCTTTATCAGGCATTACAGCCAAGATGAAATGAAAATCAGACCAATTGGATCAATCACCGCAGATTAGCGTCACGCAAAGGAGGGGTTTGGAAAAATGGAAGCGTTGAGCGAATCGTTTGGGAGTCGTTGAGCAAGTAAGGTAAAAATAAATGCATATTATAAGACAATGAAAGTGTTTTTTGACATTGCATGCATGTCAACCTGTTGTTGGGGACTCCCAAAACCGAAATATGAACCTTTCATTACCCATAATAGGGGCACTTTAAATGTGTCTTTGCTGAATAAAAGTGTTAATTTCCTAAGCTGATGCCAAACTTTTAAACGGTAGTGTACGTTTCATTATCTCTGATATTTGCAGGTAGCAGAACGAGCACTGTACTACTGGAACAATGAATACATTTTGAGTTTAATAGAGGAGAATAATGCCAAAATCCTTCCCATCATGTTTGGAAACTTGTACCGGATCTCCGAAGAACACTGGAACCCGTATGTTGTGGATTTTTCATTTGATCATTGCCACATTTTATTAAAGGAATCATTCATTACCTTCATTCCAAACCCATACTGACTGACTTTTTCTGTCAAACAGAAAAATAGAAATTTTAACGAATGTACTAGTTGCTCTTTAAATGCAGTTTTGAAACAAATAATTAAACCCATTAAAGAAATGACATGCAGTAAGCCTCTTTTAATTGTCTCAGGACGATCGTGGCCCTGGTGTACAATGTATTAAAAACACTGATGGAGATGAACAGCAAACTGTTTGATGAACTGACGGCTTCATACAAATGTGACAGACAGCGGTAAGATCACGTCTTTACTCTTCTCATTTAGTTCAAAATGACACCGCTCATGATTGCCATCACTTCTGTCTTCAGAGAGAAGAAGAAAGAGCAGGAACGTGAGGAACTGTGGAGGAAGCTGGATGAACTCGGACTTCAGGAGACATCAGCCATCCAGAATAACAGGCATGAGATCCAGTTCACGTACAGCAACAACAATAACAACAACAACAACCTTCACGATAAGGATGAAAACCCAGCAGCAGCCATTACTGACAGAATTGAGAGCAACACCTGGGCCAAATGACACTGCCCTCTTTCTTCTTTCCTCAGTGTTTTGCGGGTTTACAGATGTAAACCAATGTAGAGAGCAGTAAGGATATGGACCTTCAGCAATAATCATTTTTTTAAGGAAGATTTTATTAGATTTTTTTCCCCAAAAATCTATGTAAAACTAAATCAAAATGCTATTTTCTCCTGCTAAAGGATAATATATTTTCTGTATGTAAATCTATTTTGGATGTAAAGTGTGGTTATAGTAAGTTATGGAAGTGCGATCACATTTGCTCTTCAGTGAATTTTCACTAGTGAAATTCAGAAATTCCAATAGAATTTCTCTGGAATTTCACTAATGTGACTGCAGTTATAATCAGTATTTTTGTCTGAAATTGTCTGGAACTGAAATTGTCTACATGTACAATAGAATTATAAAATAATAATAGTTTTAAAATAGTACTTTTGTTATATTATGAGGGAATATATCTTGAAAGGATTTATTTTTAATTATTCTTATTCAATTTGGCTTCTAGTTTTTACTAGAAAACACGACAAAAATACTGACAAAATAAATATTTTTGGCGGTGAGGGTTATATTAAGACACATGAGCAAGCTTTAAAAATGAAATGTCTGTTTAAAAAAAGCAAACACTACCATGAGTTTGAAATGTATTTTGACATAAATGTGACCTAAGCTGAATATTAACATTTGATGCCTATAGTTCACATGATACGTAAGTTATATTCCATGGAAGTGCCAGAAATTAGCCTTAGAAATGCAAAAAGTGAAGCACAAATGTAGTGAACCTGGTCAGAAAGCCCTGTCCAAGATGAAAACGTTTTTTTTTTTTCTCATAATACCAGCCTTGCATTATAAATGCAACATCTTTAAATATTATATTTTATTAAAAATGCATTGCTTTCTGTATAATTTGGATCCACTATGCATTTCGCAGGTTTGGGATTAAATCAAATAGATCATTCTTAGACGTAACTTAACTCAGGGATAACTAATGCTCCCACATGTTATAGAATGGTGACAAAGGGTTTTTGTTGTTGTTTATTTTCTCAAAAATAGAAAAAAATTGTAATATGTTTAAATAACCGATATTATAAATGAGACTCACTGACATTCCATTCAACATTCTATTGTTTTGCTTCAACCAAAAATGGTCTCATCGCTATGCAGTTATGTTTTCATGAGATTTCCTGTGAGAATGTGTAAAATAACCTTGTTGTTATGTGCTATCCTGCATTAAAATGCCAGGCTGATGTTTATTTTTTCCCCATGTCATATTAGTGTTCTGTATGCGTAGGATAACAGCAAAGACCCAAGACGTGTCACTCTTATAGTTTTGAATGGGGAAAAGTCATAGACTGTATAAAAACATGGACGTAGTGTCCGTGACGTCACCTTCTAAGCAAAATAGCTAATCGGTAAAGTCAGTGCATCACTGCAGCTGGCGTTAGAAGTCCCGGTTGCTATAGAAACAGCATTCCGAGACGTGCGCTTAGGACTGCGCATGCGCACTGGCTGGTTTAGCCTGAAAAAATAAGCTTTTTAAACACTATTTGAGCAAAATAAACAACATTTATGATACAGTTGTCAGATTTCATTGGTGATCTCAAATATGAAATTTATTCGTAAGCTTGGCGAATCGTTTTGGAGAATTTGATGTTTCCCCATTCAAAGAGATAGGAGCTGCACTTGCATGCCTGAGAGGCGTTTCAAAGATGGCCGCCGAGTTACATGACTTGCCTTAAAGGGTCATGAAACCCCAGACTACTTTTTCTGAGATTTTAGCAGAGATGTTTTTGTGTTGCACATCATAGAAGACAATGTTAGCATCCGATAATTTTAACTGTTGGAGACAACTGGTTAATTTTAAGCTTTTCTGCGCTATTTTCATCTTCCAGGTTTAAAATCTACATTGTGTTAATTTGTGACGTGGCAATGGACTAATAGTACATCGATGACGTGGCTGTTTCTATCAAATTATTCATGAGACATGCGTGTTCTTATCCTATGAGAAGACGCTTCACTTAATTATTCACAACAGCATGTGTTGATTTGCTATGACAGACGTTTCAGACTGAGTTGACATCGCGCACAATAACTGAGAGAAACGTACATGCACCGATTCATTCACTTGGTGAGCATAACCGTTTTTACAGCTCTGTGACGGTGAAACAGAGAATGTGAAATAGCGGCGTCTCCAGCGCCATCACATATAGATTAGTAGAAGTTTGTTTAATCTACGACCTAGTCGAAACCACTGAGGCAAGCAGCTCAGATCATAACTGCCCAGGCCCACGAGGACGCAAGTCCGCGGGTTGAGTGGGCCCGAACCCCTATAGGACATTTCACACCCTTAGAGCCATAAGCCAAAGCAATTGCATCGACGATCCAGTGTGACAACCTTTGCTTGGACACTGGCAGGCCTTTTGTGCGCTCTCCAAAGCATACAAATAGCTGGTCCGAGAGCCTGAACTGTCTAGAGCGCTCGATATAAATGCGCACCGCACGTACAGGGCACAACAAAAGTGTATTAAACGGCTCCGGCCCGGCCAGTGTTTCGGGACGGAAAGCAGTTAGTGTTATGACCTGCGCTTTAGATGGAGTCGAAAGCACTTTAGGCACATAACCCTTCCTAGGCTTTAAGTTGAGTCTGCAATCACCTGACCCGAACTCAATACACGAGTCGTCAACTGACAGCGCCTGCAGGTCCCCAACTCACTTAACAGAGGCTAGCGCGAGCAGGGGCGCTGTCTTGCGAGAGAGCGCATGCAAACTCGCTGATTGTATAGGCTTTTTTTTTTTGCTCTTGAAGGAAGGCAAGCATTATTGGTATTATGTAGTTGAATGGGTCTTCGACTCGCACCAATTTGTGAAAACTCTCCATTTATGTGCGTAAAGACGTCTAGTGGAAGGAGCCCTAGCCTGGACATGTACTGCCCAGATGGAGAGGAGGTGTCGATGTGCCCACAGGAGAATGCTCACGGAGCTCCAGACAGTTTATGTGCCACAACTTCTCCGTTTCTGACCGCATCCCGAAGGCTGGTCTGCCGTCGCATTCGGCTCCCCAGCCCGTGCTCGATGCATCTGTTGTAACAGTCTTTCTCCTGATCACTTGGCCAATAAAAACACCCCGGCGATACAGAGTCATTGCGCCAAGGGGTCAGCGCATCCCAGCAGTCGCGCGTCACTTTGATGCGCAAGGTGCCCGTGCGCCATGCGCTCTGTGGCACCCGGCCCTTTAGCCAGAGCTGAAGCGGTCACATATGTAGGAGCCCTAGTTTGCACACTGTCGAGGCGGCAGCCATCTGGTTACATGGTTACATGGTGTAAAATTTGAATAAGTAAACTATAGGTCACACATGATGTAAACACAAATGTTACACAGTTGAAATACCCACTGCACATTCAGTTTCTATTTTTATTATTTTCAGATTTAATAAATATTAAATTCATGATGTTAAAAATAAAATGCTCTTTGTTAATTAAAAGTGAACCGATTTCTAAACTAAATGTGTTTATACAATAGACTTTTAAAATGTTTTTATCAGATAGCTTGTCTTAACTCATTTCTGATTCAGTGTTAACCATAGATGGACAGATAGCATTTACATTTTGGACTGTTTATGCTTGGACTGGAAGCGACTGGCTCTGTTAATGATCTGGGGTAAGTTATTGTCATGATGGATGATGGAAGCGATGAGCTGCTTTAATCATGCAGACTTTGAAATAAAGGTCAATTAGCAGCATGAGATTAATTTATCACACATATAACATGAAAAATGTCATCCTGTGATGAGCAGTTTATTTGGTTAAATAGTTAATAACAGTGTTAATATGGCTGCCAACCATCCTGTATACATAATCACACAAATTTTGCAAGACAAAATAGTTATTTTACACAACTTAGCCACTTCAGAAGTTTCCATTGTGAATCCTCCAGGTTCTGCACATTTTTTGGTTTTCCAGTATCTTCTGCACATTTGAGCTCTCCCCGACAGTGGCTATATGATGTTAAGATCTATCCTTTCACAGAACAACTGAGGGACTCGTGACTATTACAAAAATTGCAAATGAACATTTAAAGTGTCTGATGTCTACATTTTTGTTTATACTTAAGAATAGTTAACACAAAATGAAAATTTGCTGAAAGTGTACTCACCCTCAGGTCATCCAAGATGTAGATGAGTTTGTTTCTTCATCAGAACAGATTTGGAGAAATGTAGCATTACATCACTTGCTCACCGATGGATCCTCTGCAGTGAATGGGTGCCGTCAGAATGAGAGTCCAAACAGCTGATAAAAACATCACAATAATCCATAAGTAATCCACACCACTCCAGTCCATCGGTTAACATCTTGTGAAGTGAAAAGCTGCAAGTTTGTAAGAAACAAATCCATTACGAAGACATTTTTAACTTCAAACCATTGCTTTCAGCTATAATGAGTATTAATGAGCCATAATTCATAACATCGCTTTCTCCAGTGAATAGCAATATTATAATATGCTGTCTTTTACATGGAGTTTCTTGACTATTTGACATTTTTCAAGGGATGGGAAGTTTGTCACTATAATTTCATAATGAACCAAACACTCAATAAGTTTGAATGTAAAAAAAAAAAAAAAAAAATAACATAAATATCAGTGCATAATTAAGGATAATTATTGAACATTTATGTAATTATAAGGAAAAAAAATCCAGGAACAGCGAGTTTGTGTTCTGTCATTAGAACATCACCTAGTGCAGTTAATAGTGATTTACAGTTTAGTTTTAAATGAGGGCACACTCTCAAAAAAGGCACAAAACTGTCCCTGGAGCGACACCCTTTCACAAGGTACTAATATGTACATTTAAGGTACTACTAGCACCCTTTAGGAGTAAATAAGTCCTAAGTGTAGTCTCTAAAGGACACTGTTTCTCCAGATTTTTGTTATCTAGCTTGTCCAGAAGGTGGCATCTCTAACCTGCTTGTGCATGTGTCCACATGATGGCGTTTCAAGAAAGTACAGTAATAGTTACAGTACAGAATAATGATACTGGCCGCTCCCAGTTCAGAATGAATATCAGAGGACGCCACCTTCTGGTGGAAAAACGAATTAAAAACTTGATTGGTCACACCGCGGCAGCCAGTCACGTGGATAGTTCTCGACAATGACTAGCATTGTGCAGTTCAATAAATTAAGCTAAAATGCTCTTATATACACAAGATATAGTAAACTCTTTAACACCAACCTATTTTAGATTATATAACTTGTTTTAAGTTTTTTTCACCACATTTAATCAACATTTTGATTTCACTAGTTCGTTTCAGTGGTGTTGTGTGATAAATTCAATTTGATTGAAATGATGAATTATTATAGCTACAATTAGTAAAATGCTGCAAAGGGGTTTTAGATTTTAGGTTTATGTCATGTTACACTGCAGGACATGTTAAGCTATCAAACTATTCTGACACTTCACAAAGTTATACAGTTCCTCTTCAGGAACTCGAGCTGCGTCGGAAAACGCTAGGGGAACGCCCTTCAGCGTGACCGGCTCTGAACCT